TTACACAGTTGGAGTCTGCTGCTCAGGCTAGTGCAGTGGCGTGATCATAGCTCACTCCAGCCTCAAACTTCTGGGCTCAAGTGATCCTCTTGCCTCAGCCTCTGGAGTAACTGGGATTATAGGCATGTACCACCATGCTTGGCTAGTTTTTCAAAAAATCTTTTTTAGAAAGGAAGTCTCACTATGTTACCCAGGCTGGTCTTGAACTCCTGGCCTCAGGTGATCATCCTGCCTCAGCCTCTTGAGTAGCTGGGATTATTGGCACAAGCCACCATGCCTGGCTCTGATATTTGTATTTTCAAGTTTCTGTTTGTGCTGGTCAGATAAAATTTCTCTTTTCTCCTGTAGTCTTACACTGCTTGATTTATATACCTGCTTTAGAGCTTTTTGTTGTCTGTGCTAAATTAGAATTATATTGTATTTTAGTCTTCCAAATAGCACTAGGTTTAGTAATTTTTGTATATACAATAATGCATTTCATATAGCTAGTATCTGTTCAACTGAATTACATAATATATGTATTTATCTTGTGGCTTCTATTTTTTTAACCTTTTTTTCAAAGCTCAAGGTGTACATTTAATCTACTGAATTGGAGCCTATTTAATAACAATATTAAGAGCTACCATTCATTTTTGAGCACTTACTGTGTGCTTGGCACTGTTCTACGAGTTTTTGTTTGTGTATTTAAGCACTTAATTCTCACACTCCTCTACGAGATCAGTGATATTATTATTTCTACTTCACGAATGAGAAAATTGAAGCACAGAAAGTTTAAGTAACAAGCCCAAGGTTACGTCCCAGTAAGTGTCATAACTTGGACTCAGATAATGTGCTTCAAACAACTTCACTCTTAACTACTATTCAACAAAGTCACTTAAACATCACTGAGTGGCCAAAATGAGTTTTCTGTTTTTTTTTGACAGAATGTCTTCTTTTCTTAAAAGAAATAATTAACAAGGAGCAAATTTTATTGTTCATTTATTTCATGAATATTATCATTTACAAGTATACTTACATTCCTGCAGTTTATGGTATGAGTAGCTTTCATTAAATCTGTTGGACTTGAATCATCAAGGGATGAAGAAGACCGTAACCTTTAAAAGGTGAAACAGAAAACATTTTTTATTTTTACATATTTTAGAAGGAAATTTTCTCCTCTAAATATATAATAATCTACTGATAAAAATATAGTGAGGAAATTGAAACCGAGTATCATAGCAGTTTTCACATTTAGACTGACTTACTAGGTGCCAGACTTATTTGTGACTATGGAATGCTGAAAAACACTCCATAGTAAATAGAAAAATAAAGCTCTGAGGTAAAAACTTTTGAGTAAATCATATCACCTGTCAAAACAGCATGTGGTCAAATAGTAGAATAACACAGCATAGTTTCAAACAGATGCCGGTGTCAAAAATCAGCTCCTCCTCAGGATACTAAATGGCAGAACTGAGAGTAAGGGAAGGTTTGCTAACGTTTTGGAACCTTTTTAAAGTGGAAAATGTGCCATATTTTTACTATAATAGGTCATTCTCAGGTAAAAAATCAATGAAACACATACATAAAGAACAAAATGGTATAAACACAATCTTTGTCTTTATGTGTTCCCAAGAAGGCAGTTGACATTGAGGTGTACAATACAATGGTTTAATGTACATACACATAGTAAAATGATTGCTGCAGTTAAATAAATTTACATATTCATCACCCCCCCCCCCCAGTTATCTGTGTGTATGTGTACGTTGACAGCACCTAAAACCTACTCTCCTAGCAAATCTTCGGTGTATAACATTATTAACCATAGTTAGTTCTCATGCTGCCCATTCCATCTGTAGACTTATTCATTCTACCTAACAGCAAATTTGTACCTTTTGATTTACTTCTCCCCACTCCCATGCCCTCCCTGCCTCTGGTGAACACCAATCTACTCTATTTTTATTTAGTCAGCTTTTTTTTCCCCTGACATTCTGCACATAAGAGATGACACAGCACGCTTCATTCTGTGTGTGGCTTATTTCACTTAGCATAATGTCCTGGGGGTTCATTCATGTTATCACTGTTTATAATTTGAAACTTCTCTTTTTTTCTTAGTCTAGCTAATGGTTTATCAATTTTATCTTTTCAAAAACCCATCTCAGTTTCATCAGTCATTTCTATTGTTTTCCTAATCTTGATTTAATCTGTTTCTGTTCCGATAATTTCCTTCCATCTGTTGACTTTGGATTTAGTTTGTTCTGTTTCTAGTTCTGGAGGTGTAAACCTAGGGTTTTTTCCTTAACATAGGTATTTACTGCTATAAACGTCCCTCTTAGAACTGCTTTTTACTGCATTCCATATGTTTTGATATGTTGTGTTTCCATTTTTATTTGTCTCAAGTTTTTAAATTTCCCCTTTGATTTTTTCTTTGACTCATTGGTTATTCAGGCATGTGTGGTTTAAATTCCACATATTTGTGACTTTTCCAGTTTTCCTCGTTATTGACTTCTAGTTTCATAACACTGTGGCCAGAAAAGATACTTGGTATGATTTACATGTTCTTAAATTGTTTAAGACTTGTTTTCGGCCGGGCGCGGTGGCTCACGCCTGTAATCCCAGCACTTTGGGAGGCCGAGGCGGGTGGATCACGAGGTCAAGAGATCGAGACCATCCTGGTCAACATGGTGAAACCCTGTCTCTACTAAAACTACAAAAAATTAGCTGGGCATGGTGGCGCGTGCCTGTAATCCCAGCTTCTCAGGAGGCTGAGGCAGGAGAATTGCTTGAACCCAGGAGGCGGAGGTTGCGGTGAGCCGAGATCGTGCCATTGCACTCCAGTCTGGGTAACAAGAGTGAAACTCCGTCTCAAAAAAAAAAAAAAAAAAAAAGACTTGTTTTGTGGCCTTATATATGACCTATCCTGGAGAATGTTCCATGCACACTTGAAAAGAACGTGTATTCTGCTGCCATTGGATGAAGTGTTCATGTCTTTAGTGTTGTTCAAGTCCACTGTTTCCACATTCATGTTGTTTGAATGCTCTATCCATTGTTGAAACTGAGGTTTTGAGGTCCCCTGCTAATATTGTATTGCTGTATATTTGTCCCTTTGATTTGGTTAATATTTGCTTCATACATTTAGGTGTTCCAATGTTGAGTGCACATACATTTTCAATTGTTATATCCTCTTGAATTGACTCCTTTATCATTACATAATGAGCTTCTTTGAATCGTGACAGTTTTGCAGGGTGTGTGTGTGTGTGTGTGTGTGTGTGTGTGTGTGTGTTTTTAAGACGGGGTCTTGCTATGTTGCCCATGCTGGAGTGCAGTGGCCATTTGCAGATATGATAATAGTGCACTACAGCCTTGAACTCTTAGGCTCAAGTGATCCTCCTGTCAGCCATCCAAGTGGCTGGTGCTATAGGTGTGCACCACCATGCCCAGCTTAGTTTCTGACTTAACATCTATTTTTTCTAACATAAGTATGGTCACCCCTACTCTGTCTTGGTTATCATTTGCATGGAATATCTTTTTCCATCCCTTCACTTTCCATCCCTTCACCTAAGTGTATCCTTAAAACTAAACTGAGTCACTGATTGGCAGCATACAGTTAGATCTTGTTTTTTACATCCATTCAGCTAGTCTGTCTTTGATTGAATAATTTAATCCATTTATATGCAATTACTGATAGTAAAGTGCCAACTAGGCCATATTGTTCACTGTTCTCTGTCTGTTTTGTAATTCCTTTGTTCTATTCTTCCTCCTACTGTCTTCCTTTGTGATTTGATGATTTTTTTGTAGTGGTATGCTTTGATTCCTTTTTCTTTTTCTTTTGTGAAAAAGAACTTATTTGTAGTTATTAGGAGGTCTACATAAAATACCTTATCATTATAAAAGGACATTTTAAGCTGATAATTTAACTGCAGCTGTACATAAAAACTCCACACTTTCTCTCCACATTTTGTTACTGATGTCACAATTTATATCTTTTACGTGTCATATATTAACAAACTACTGCAGCTATAATTAAATACTTTTGTCTTTTAATGTTTTTATTAGAATTCAAAGTGATTTACGTACTACCATTACAGTATTAGAGTATTCTGAATTTGAATTTATTCTTATCTTTACAGAAAGTTTTACACTTTCATTTGTTTGTTAGCACCCTTTCAGTTTAATGTGAAGAATTCCCTTTAGCATTCTTGTAAGGCACATCTCATGATTATTAACTTCCACAGTTTTTGTCTGTCTGGAAAAGTCCTTATCTACCTTTCATTTCTGAAGGACAGCCTTGCCACATGTAGTATTCTTGTTTGGCAGAGTTGTTTGTTTGTTTGCTCTTTACTTGCAGCACTTCCAATATATCATCCCATTCTCTCCTGGCCTGCAAGGTTTCTGCTGAGGTTTCTTTCTGATGCTTTCAAAATCCTTTCCTTCTTTGACTTTTGAGAAGTTGATTACAATGTGTCTTGGTAAAGATCTCTTTATATTTAATCTACTTGGGGTTCTTTGGGTTTCATGAAACTGGAACCCCTGGGTTGAATGAATATTCCCTTTACTGAGTTTGCGGATTTTCCTTTTTTTTAAATAAGCTCCTTGCCTCTAACTTTCTCTGTCCTTCTGGGACACCCACAGTGCATACACTGGTTTTCCTGACAGTGTCCCATAAGTCCTGTGGGCCTTCTTCACTCTGGAAGTCCTATTCTGCCATCTTACTGGCATCTGATGTCACCCCGTTCATGTTTTAAAATCACTACCTGTTCACTTAGCCTGATGGAAACTACCTCTCCCCTCATCTCTTTACTATTAATCTTCTGCATCTTGGCTTCCTTCATATTAGTTCCCTGGGCAAAAATCTGTTAATTTAAGTCCCTCTACTACCTGATTTTACGTTAGTTAAGAACCTTGACTGCTCACCAACTCAATTCCTCTCTCAACTGAGTCCCCTTGTTTTCTGAAGCCCCTATGATTTCTTCTACATTCTTACAATTCCGTCTTCCTGTTGAAAAACAGCTTGTATCTGAAGTTATTTGAGTTGGCTTTTATGTACCTTTGTGAATTTTAAAGGTTTTTTCTTTTTTTTTTTTAAGATGAAATGTTGCTCTGTCACCAGGCTGGAGTGCAGTGGTGTGATCTTAGCTCACTGCAACATCCAACTCTCTGGTTCAAGTGATTCTCCTGCCTCAGCCTCCTGAATAGCTGGGATTACAGGCACATGCCACCGCACCCAGCTTATTTTTGTATTTTTAGTAGAGACAGAGTTTCACCATTCCATGTTGGCCAGGATGGTCTCGATCTCCTGACCTTAGGATCCATCAACATTGGCCTTCCAAAGCGCTGGGATTACAGGTATGAGCCATTGTGCCCAGCCTAAAGGTTTTTTTTTTCATGTTAGTATGATTATTTCTTGTAAAATTTCTATCTTTTTTTGTTGCTACTGTGAAGATGATAACATTTTCCATTATATTAAGCTAGCTATCATTTGTATATAGGAAGACTACTGATTTTTGTATATTGGTTTTATAAATATGATATTTTTACTTTTGAAAATATTTGCAGCAATAAAACATTACCTCTGTAAATCCAGACTTTCATTTGCAATATCTGTTCCAATACTACCAGCACCAAGTACTGTTCCAGTAGACATTCCAGGTACACTCATACAAGATTGTTTAGAGGATTCTAAGTAACAGCAAAAGGAAAAACTCAATTGAGGACTTTTTCTTTCAATTCAAATAATTTCACACTTCTCTCCTTAAAAGAAACAGACTAGGTGCATCCAAAAATGTTAGAAAACATTCATCCTTGTATTACATATGTAATTCATAATGCTCTTTGAATCAAATGTGTGGGAAGTCACTGAGGGCACAATCGTGACTTGTAACCCAGGAGTCAAGTCTCTTTCAACTTTAATCTCCACACTAAAGCCAGAGCAATACTACTTCAATGTTTCTGAAGATTTTTATTTTTACAAATAATACATTAATATATTCCTGTGGTGAAAAACTAACACAGATAAGCAAAAGCTCCCCCTAATACTTCTCATTAATTTGTCCAAGAGTGTCACAATTGACAAGGAACAATGTTAGCTGCTAGGGCTGAATAAGGGATAAAACATCATTCCTGCTCTTAAAGAACTCAGTCTACTGGAAAGCAAGTTGAATGAACAACTAATTGCAGTACAGTGCAAGATTATAACAGAAATGTAAGCAAAGTACTGTAGAAATTTCGAGGGGGATATGGTAGTACCTCTGGGAGTTTAAATGGGATATCTGTTTCCTGTTGAATTTAGTCTCTTCTAAACCAAAGCTGGGATTCCTAGAACCCAATCCGTAGAACTCCTTTTAATTTCACCTTCAAATTTTCCCCTCTCCGGGACAGAAAAATATAATAGTCTTAACAATATATCTCAGTAATAAGTCTTTCATCATCTGAAACTAAACTTACCTTCTGATGATTGAGAGCTACAAGGAAAAAATGATGCTTCTCCAGGCTCGCTATGCCCCCTAGAATTAAAAACACCATAGGTGATTTAATTTTCTAAGGCGAAAGAAACTGTTATGGCAGCTACACTAAGCTCTTTTAATTTGTCAATTTGTGGCTCATTTATGTTTTATATACACATATTGTTAAGATCTTAATGTGCTAAGTATCATGGCATTTGCCAAATGCCCCATCCCCCTATAAAAGACGTTCTCACAGTAACAAACTCTCAGTTCACATACTAATAAAAAGTAGGCAAAGATTACTGGGATGGGTGATAGGAAATACTGGAGGTATTAAACTTTTTGGTTTTTTTAAAATTATTTTTCATTCAGAAATGTAGATAAGAAAACAACTGGTTCAGGGAAACCTTACAGCAATTTCAAAGAGAAACTTACAGAAAAAAAGTACGACTTAGAACAGGGCCATCCTAGCCTACTATAAAATCGGGAAAACTTGGCTCTCCCTTCAGGCTAACACAGTTACAGAACAGGGCTTGATAAGCAACACCTGGGCTGGATTTCTGCTCTCCCCCACCCTGGGCCTGCCTACACAGACATGTGTGGCACCCCAGGCTTACAAGATGTGCCTAAAAATGATGGGGAGGACAAAACAATTTCTTACAACAGTGCACAGTAGAAGTCCATATCCGCATTGTTTACCTAATGACCATGGAGGGTAGGAAGAAAATGCTTGAATGAATGCCTTTACCCTCAACATATTATATCCAGGAGGAATATATTACAAAAAAAGAAAACTTTCAGCTTAATTCTGAGAACTAATGCCAATGAATAGTAAACGAATTACTCAAAAGATAAATATCAAGTTATAATAAAAGGCCAGAGGATCATATAGTTTTAATGATTCAGCAAGATGAGAGGAGAAAAGGAAAGATACTCATTTGAAATTAATATAAAGGTCTTAACATAAAAAATTACTTACAAAACTAAAGTGTTGACAGATACGATATATTCCAGTTCTTTTGTCCAAGGATTTGTGAAACTAAACCATTGGCTTTTTAAAGTTACAAAAGAGCCATCTTTTGCTCTGAATTTGTAGGAATCTGTAAGTATTTTCTCCTTACTCTGTAGAACTTAACGAGAAAAGATAATTATCAGCATAACAGTCTGCCACTATAAAAATCAATGTTGTGAGGATTCATTAAAATTTCAAATTTCACAGGAATGGGAAATTAAGAGTGAAAGCTGTCATTTTAAATTCCCCAAAATGTATTCCGCTTGATGCATACCTACCTGCTTTGTGCTTGTCAGTCAAATTATTATGGTCATCTTGATGAAAATATTCATAACAAGAAGTTCCCAAAAGTTCCTGAGGCAGATATCCTAAAATTGCTGTTGCCCTGGTTTTAAAATTGAAAATAAACTTCAGAAGTGGTGAGTGTACTTCCTCCCAGAATACTGTAGGCGCACATGTGGCCAGGAGAGTAAGGAAGTGCATGGGGACCCATGCACATCACTGGGCTGCCCTTGGCTGCCCTAGACCCAGACTAGAGCTGCAACACAGAACAGACACCCAGGCATGAGGCCTCCACCCGATCCAGGCTGCGCTCTTACTAGCTTTTGCCAGTAAAATCGGGGCCACAGACCATGCCCAATTTCTGCACCAACTGGCTAGGAGACACTCTTCCAAGTTTACATGTTAGCTTAAACAAATTTGCTGACATGTCCATATCCTTATTTCATTTAAAGTTTCTTTTTTGTTCTGAAAACACACACACACACACACACACACACACACACACACACCCCTAGCAGTGTTACTAAGACATGTCTTTAATAGTTTCAAATATCCCGTTGAAATCTAATCATTATAACATGTAAATGTTTACCTTTGATCTACATAGACAAATTTTCCATTCATTGCAAACCGGGTTATAAATTCAGTTGGTTTCACTTTAATCTCTCCACTATTCTGTGGAACAATATATGGCTGTAATCTTCCAATGGCTACAAGGCAGGTAAAATTACTGTTGTCTTTCTTACTGTTCCTTTCTTCTTCCATTCCAACAATATTTGGAGGCCAGCTTCTCAAGTAACCAGTGCAGTGGACAGTATAGAATTTCCTATGCTCTAATTCAAAGATTTTTAAGAAGGACATTTGGATCATTATAAACAAATCATTAAATTTCTTACATTGACATCTATAATAGTTACAATTGTGCTATAAAATGCTCTTTAAATATGCTAAAATATGAAAGGGGAATGGTATTCCATTGAAAAGATATCATCAATTTTGTTTATTTCATGACTTTATTATTAATAGGTTATTTTTCTCAGGAACTAAATTGTATGTGCTACATGAAAAAGTGAACTGGTTGCATTATTTTAGGATTAACTAGGTTTATGACTTAATATATTTCCGAGTCCATTTTTAAAATTACAGTAATTTACTTCTGTCAGAAAAAATTAAACCTCATGCCCCATTGTAATACTGTTTTCAGCTTAAGTTTCTTGATATATTGTAATATATTGTAACTTAGATTCAAAAGTATAAAAAGACATTTAAGTCATTATGCATAAATTCTTAAATTTCTTATGTTAGAGCTTACATGGTCAATAATTATATAAGGTTATTATAGATTATACAAACATCTTAAAGAACACTTGGAGAAATTTATAATGGAAGATATAAAAATAAAATAAACTTCACTTTTTAGGAAAATCCACAGCAATTAACTAAGAAGACTGTCAAGCATGTCCACCAGAATAAAAAATTGGAAATAATCTATATACTCCAATATCATGCTTAAGCAAAAAATGAATCCAACACTGGCATAAAAGATGAGTAGGAAACAGATTACGGCATGCCATAGAAGTGATTTAAAGGTTCAAAAGTAGGGGAAAACTGTGATAAATATTATTTGAAACAGCTGTTTATGATAAGATTTAGAAAAGATTAGAACAATCAATGTTTTAAATTGGCACTATTTGGTAAAACTGCCACTACAATAAAACCTTTAAGGCTGGGCACAGTGGCTCATGCATGTAATACCAGCACTTTGGGAGGCTAAGGTGAGTGGATCACCCGAGGTCAGGAGTTTGAGACCAGCCTGACCAACATGGTGAAACCCCATCTCTACTAAAATACAAAATTTAGCTGGGCACAGTGGCAGGTGCCTGTAATCCCAGCTACTTGGGAAGCTGAAACAGGAGAATCCAAGGAGATGGAGGCTGCAGTGAGCAGAAATCGTGCCATTTGCACTCCAGCCTGGACAAAAAGAGGGAAACTCCAATTCAAAAAAAAAAATACTTTAAATTTTTTTCTAAATAGAAGATGACATGAACTGTCATATAAGACAGTAGCTAACAATAATAGAGAAGATTTAGAGAACACTTTCTGTGTCACGGTCTATTTTAAGTGTTTTAAACTTATAACTCATTTAATCTTAATAGTTCTTTGGGATGTTCTTGTATCTCCGTTGTTTTAGAAAACTGAGTTAATGGCAAAGTCACAGCAGGTACAGGGTGGAGCTGGGGTTAAAAGGCTGGCTCGAGAGTCTACTTTCTAAACCACTAATGTTACACAATTTGCTGATAGTGAGTGCTCTGTCGCCAAAGATGTTCAAATAGGAGTTGCCTGGGTGACAGAAGGGGAGGGGCACAAAGGTGCTCCAGCCAGAGGGAATACGCAATGAAAACTGCGAGTGGTCAGATGCGGCTGAAGCACGGGCTGCAGGGGGGAAGGCTGGAAAATAAAGCAGGAACAGAGGGCAGGTTGTAAGACATCCATAAAACCTTGTATCCAACACCTAGCAAACACCACTCCCTTCCCAGGCCACAGACACTCTAAATTACAAAACTCCTTATCGCTTCCAACCTCAAATCCAGTCTTTATCACCTAGTATTTCTGACCCTGTTTACTGGTGCCACAATCAACCCAGGCAGTTCAAAGAGAAATCTGGGGGTCATCCTAGGCTCTACCTCCTCCTAACAACCTCCCCTTTTACCTCCCCCTAACAACCCAGATACTGCACATGAGTTAAAATTGACTAAGTATGAATAAAAGTTTTCATTCATATTAACAAAACTAGAGGGCAGTTAAAAATAAAAGGGCTTATACATCAGGTTCGGCATTTCTGCAAACTTACAAATGATACTGACTAAAAATATTCCACTCCACTAAAAATGCAGACTTAAGAAAGTCTATATTTTTTATTTATGGAATCTCATTACACAGAACCTAGCCTGTTACATTTATTTTTCTCTTACAACAGGTTACTATCTGTATTTCCAAATCAAACTGTCCCTCGATTCTCACTGTGAACATTTATTCAGTTAGCAAATTTTTAGTTGGAATTATGTAATTCTATCAACTGCAATTCATTTGATCAGTGATCTAAAGCTTTTTTAAAAAAAATTCCATTCAATCCATTTCCTGTTTAGAAAAGAAAAAGTGCAGCTTGCTGCCAGAGTAGTATTCTCAGGGCAAATGGGAAATGGATTAAAAACTCTTATCCCAAACATTCTTTAGATTTTTATCTAAATATTGGAGTCATGAGGTCTGATCCTTGCCAAACTATTTACTTACACCGGCTCCACAGGCTAGGTTCAAGTGTCATCTGCTCCATGATTTCTCAAAAGTGTGTGTGGGTGAAGTGAGGGAGAAAAAGCCTGTATTACCCCAACACTGCCTTAATTTACAGGACATCCTTCCAAAATCCTTTATGAAATTTTTCCTCAACACGTTGAAGGCTGGGTCTCTCAACTCAGTATCTTGCTGTCTTCATTTGAATCCTTGAGGAAGTAGATCCAAAACAAGAATTCAAATATAATAAATGTATTTGAGGGGTGGTCCCAGGAAACACTGGCAGGAACTGGGAAGTGAGACAGGGAAGAGAAGGAAACTAATAAACCATCTGAAACCTGTAAGTTCCTAGAGCCACAGGCAGAACTGGCTCCAAAGATCCAAGGAAGAGGTCAGGCAGAGTCTTGCCGCTGGTCTCCAGAAGCCAGTGGCACACCCTGTCTGCAGTGGTGGGTGCTGGGGGGATGACCCATGGGGCACTGACAGATGGCATCTGCCACACGTGCACAAGAAACAAGTGGATTCTGGGTGTACTGTTGTACTTCTTCCTCATGTACAATTATCTTACAAAGATAAATTTAAGAAACACCTAAGAGATTTGGTAGCAGTCATCCATGCTTCATCAGTCTGCAATTTCACAAGTTCAGATACTTAATTGTCTCTCTACCTTAGAAGCTTTTTCAAAGTTTGAGTCCATGACATTAATGTTTGATTCAGGATATAAATAATTTTTTAAAACGTCAATGTTGTTTATTTAAAAAAATATTTTATTATGGAAAATCTCAAACATAAGGCAAAATCAGAAATAAACTTTGGGAACTCATCTTGAGAAACCTTGAGAAATGGCCGGTCTTTCCATAAATCTTAAATTCAACTACCAATTAGCATAAAAAGGGCTGCTGGCTAGTCTTCTTTAAGTTTAAACGTAACTGACACGTTATGGTAAAAGGGAAGAAAAACACCTTTACCAACCACAGGCTTTCATTGTTAATAGTGTGGAGTCTTGAAACACAGTGACATCCAGCCAGGCGTAGAGGCTCATGCCTATAATCCCAGCACTTTGGGAGGCCAACGCAGGCGGATCACCTGAAGTTGAGGGTTTGAGACCAGCCTAACCAACCTGGAGAAACCCCATCTCTACTAAAAATACAAAAAATTAGCCAAGTGTGGTGGTGCATGCCTATAATCCCAGCTACTTAGGAGGCTGAGGCAGGAAAATCGCCTGAGCCCGGCAGATTCCTTTGGTTCTCAGGACAGAGCCTTTTCAGATTTCTTTCTCATGAGAATTATAGTATAGAAAATGATCCAAGTTGTCTGCTATCTGAGGTTGAGCTGCCACAGCGAAATAGCAGAGTTGGCAGCTTCAACAACAGGAACTTCTTTTCTTTCAGTTCTGGAGGCTGGAGGTCTGAGATGGAGGTGTCAGCAGGGCTGGGTTCTGGTGAGGGCTCTTTCTGGCTTGCAGACATCTACCAACTTGCTGTGTGCTGACATGGCCATCCCTTGCTCACTGCATTCATGCAGAAAGACAAAAAGCTCTCTGGCTCCTCTCTATGTAAGAATACTAATCCCATCATGAGGGCCCCATCCTCATGACCTCATCAAAACCTAATTATCTCCCAAAGGCCCAGTCTCCAAATACCATCATGTCGGGGGTTAAGGCTTCACATATGAATTCTGGGGACACAATTCAGTCCATACCATTTGCTAAAAACTTCTTGAGATAAAATCTAAAAAATATGTTGAAATTGCTTCCTTAGGTAAAACAGAAAGCCTATAATGTATATTCATTCATTGAATTAATAACTTGTTCCTGTGGATCTGAGAGTGGTTATGTGGTCAAAGGAACAGGAACAAAAGACAAGAGGATCGTCACTTATGCCTTCAGGAAATGTTTATAGAATGTCTACTGTGGGTCAGAAACAACAGACGGAAATGCAGCTCTCACTCTAGTGTGGGAGGCAAATATTAAAAATATTAAGCAATTTCAATACAGTGTGGAAGGGCAGCAAATATGAGAGCAGCTCAGGATTACTAATGTGGGTAACCTGGGACTCAGGCCACCAGAGTGGGGAGGGTATCGGGGATGATTTCCTGGAAACAGGGGATACCTGAGCTTTAATGTCCAGGGTCTGTGGACAGATTTGTGTGTTGCGGTCAGGCATGATGGCTCATGCCTGTAATCCTAGCCTTCTGGGAGGCTAAAGTGGGAGGAACACTTGAGGCCAGGAATTTGAGCCCAGCCAGAGCAACACAGCAAGACCCTATCTCTACAAAAAATTTTAAACTTAGAGGGATGTGATGATGCATATCTATATAGTCTCAGCTACATGGGAGGCTGAGGTAGGAAGATCATTTGAGCCCAGGAGTTTGAGGCTGCAAGCTATGACTGCACCACTGCACAAGTGTGTTGTGTCTGTAATTGTTACAAAGTGAATAGCACCAAAAAACTGAGTAAATAATCCTCCAGTATTCAAAAACTACTATTAACTCAGCAAAGATGTCACTCACATCACACTGTCCACTACCTACTTATTAGTTTACATATTTCTTGGCTGTCTCTATTATATAAGGGCTGTCTCACATAAGGTCCACCAGAGCAGTACTTCTCTGCCTATTCCCCAGTGTGTCCCTTGCATTTGGTATAGTACCTGGCACACAGTAGGCACTCAATGAGCTGTTCATTTATTAACATCTATTGTTGTCAGACCATGATCTCGGGTTTATCCTATTTTCCCCTCAGCACAGCCAATGTGCAGGGATCCTTTTAGAAATAAGACTGTGATAGGAGATATAAGAAAATACAACTCAGGGAGGAAGCTTTAGCCCCAGGCTTGAGCACTGCTGTACAGGGCACCCCTACTTTCCATTTCTCACACTCTCCGAGAATCTTGAGAAGAGTCTAAAGCAGTGGCTGTGAAAGTAAGCTCTCTGGATTAGCAGCATCAGCCACACCTGGAAACTTCCTAGAAATGCACATTCTTGGACCCCACCTCAAACTGATTCTGTATTTTAAAAATCCTTCCAGGTGATTCCAATGCAGGCTAAAGTTTGGGACCCATTGGTCTAAAGGTGTAACTTAAAATGTGTTTCTCCAGTGAACCTAAATTCTCCTGAATATCAGGGAGGAGTTCAAATGGTGATAGTGGATTTGTTTGGAGGATCAGGCCACAGGAGAATGGGGTTTTGCCAACAGGTTTCTGAGTGGAAGCTCAGCCTAGATAGATTTATTTTCAAGTTCAAGAATATAAATTGTTTGCATGTGGATATTGGTTTGAGAAGGCTGGGTAAGTTTACTTACGTCAGAAGAGAGAATGAAATCAGGAGAAGTGGCAGGAAGAATTAGATTAGGTTAGAGGGGAGAAAATGCAGAGGCTGAAAATCAAGCCTGCAGAGGTGCACGCTTTAGCAGAAAAGAGCAAGATGATGGGGTAGGTAGCAGAGGGCAAAATCAGGTTTCACAGAAGTACAGGGTTACAATGGCACCAATCAGATACCAACACAAACATGACTAAAATACTAAGTCACTCCATGTGGAAAATCTCCCAGAAGAAAAGACAATTCACTCTGGTAATCTTTAAAACACTTACAAAATTTGACCATGCTAGCCTCTAATCGATTTATAACTTGCAACAAACATGACAGATTTCAGCCACCTTACAGTGGTTGCACTGGCTGTCAGGTTTTCACTTATACAGATTTCTGTGTAGATTTGGTGATTTACACATGATTGGACCCTTATGGACAGATTAATTAGAGGTGAACCCTAGAGGTGAACCAACACCATGTTGGTTCACCACCGGCTAAAGCCTAAGAGTAAAACATACTACAGTATGACTCCTCGGACCATCCACACAGAAGGAATATTCCTGCCACTGGGGACTATTTTCACATTACATGGCCACATCCCAGCTGGTCCCTATGGTAATACCAAGATGACTGATGTGGGAAGGAAGGCAGAGAGAACAGGCACTCTGGGGCAGTGACAATAATGGCACCTGCCATCTGCTCTACACTGTCCTAGGAGTTTAGGTGGACTATTTCCAATAGTGTTTTTAAGAGCTCCTAACATCGGCTGTCACTATGCCGGGAACCAGGCTAAGCACATGATGTGTATTAACTCATTTAATCCTTATAACAACCCTGAGTGGAGTCCTATTATTCCCATTTTAGAAATGAGGGGAGTAAGACCCCAAAGGATTCAGAAATTTATCTTAAGTCACATAGCAGAATTAGGATTTAAATCTAAACAGTTTGGCTCTAGAATCTACTCATTTACCTGCTGCAGCTAAACCACAGAGTCCTGTCAATATTCTCATGTTACAGATATGGAAACTGAAGCTCAGAGGGATTAAGAAACTTGCTTATGATCACACAGCTAGCTTGTGGTAGAGCTAAAATCTGATCCCCACTGGTTGGATTCCACAGCCTCTTTACCTCCAGTTCAGTTGTGACTTCAAGCCCAGGAAGCTTCATATGTGACATTAGACAGCTCTCCACCACTCAGAGCCACCGGCAAGAGGGAAGAAACTGATGGTCCTTAAACAGATCCCCCTGAGGACTGCTGGTTCATTTCCATTTTTGTTTCTTTACAGTGTAACACAGAGTAGGGGGTTTATGGCTGATTGTGAATTTTACCTATTTGACTTTCTGCAAGTTACTGAATCTCTCCAAGTCATTCATCTTTGATCCTAAAACAGAGATAAGAAAAGTATTTTCTGGGCCAGGTGTGGTGGCTCACACCTGTAATCCCAGCACTTCAGGAGGCTGAGACGGGTGGATCACCTGAGGTCAGGAGTTCGAGACCAGCCTGGGCAACAGGGAAAAACCCCATCTCTACTAAAAATACAAAAAATTAGCTGGGCGTGATGGCAGGTACCTGCAATCCCAGCAACTTGGGAGGCCGAGGCAAAAGAATCACTAGAACCTGAGAGGCAGAGGTTGCAGTGAGCCAAGATCGCACCAGTGCACTCCAGCCTGGGAAACAAGAGCAAAACTCCATGTCAAAAAAAAAAAAAAAGAAAAGGATTTTCTGCTTGATTTACATTTCTGGTGGCAATGTAAATTAGTTCAGACACTGTGGAAAGCAGTTTGGGGGTTTGTCAAAGAACTTAAAACAGAGCTACCATTTGACTCAGGAGTCTCATTACTGAGTGTACACCCAAAGGAAAATAGATCATTCTACCAAAAAGACACATGCACTGTGTGTTCACTGCAGCACTGTTCACAAGAGCAAATACATGAAATCCACCTAGGTCCCCATCCATGGTGGATTAGATAAAGAAAGTGGGGTACATATACAACATGGAATACTTCACAGCCATTAAAAAGAATGAAATCGTGTCCTTTGTAGCAACATGGATAGAGTTGGAGGCCATAATCCTAAGCAAATTAATGCAAGAACAGAAATCAAATACCACATGTTCTCACTTATAAGTAGGAGCTAAACATTGAGCACATAAGGACATAAATATGGGAACAACAGACACTGTGGCTATTAGAGCGGGAAGGGAGGGAAGGGAGTGTGGATTGAAAAACTACCTACTGGGTACTACGCTCGCTACCTTAGTGCAATATACCCATGCAACAAACCTGCACATGTAGTCCCTGTATCTAAAATAAATATGGAAATTTTTAAAAAAGAATAGTGTTTCCATGAGGATTAAAACACTTAGCAGAGTATCTGGCACAGGGTAAGTGTTTAGCAAATGGGTATTAGCAATGATCATTTTAGGTGTTTGTCAATAAAGATTCTGACCAAAACTTGTAAATAAATTGAATTTTGCAGCTTCATATAAATATCCTTTTAAAGAATAGGAGAGCAAATCCCATGTTGAAATTTGCCTATGGAATTGTATATCTAATAGCTTAATATGCTCTTAGGCAAAAAAGTTATGAGATATTTTGTAGTCCCTGAAATTTCCCAATTAAGTTAAACGGATGACTATTTGATCAACTCAAAAAGGAAACATCTGCAAGACAAATCTAGCAAAGGATCATAAGAAAGCAAATGAGGTATTTACCAAAGAATCACCATCTCATAAAAAATTAATACCTGGAACATTTTAAGAAACGTTCACCAAAATTGGTAAAATCAGGCTCTTGTACTATGAAGTTTTTTTTTTTTTTTTTTAAATCTAACTCTTGTATTTTAAAAAGTAATAATGAAGTTTCATAGCAAAAGTTTCATTTCCATCTCTTGTCATTTTTTTTTCCATTTGATACGGCCCAAACTACAATTTCAATAAACCATTGAAATCTTGGACAACAAAGAAAATATGTAATTACTGATAAATGTAAAAGATACGATGAACCAATCTAAATAATTTTGGTTTAAAAAAATCTTATTTTAAAGGTACTTCTGGATTCAAATATTTCCCTTGATCATATATTTTATTTTTTTCTGTACAGAAAATATTTAGGATATTAATTTTATATCTATGCTTTACATCACTTGACATTTCAAAATGATACCTTTTTTCTTTGAGCTGTGTAAGCATTCATGCTCTTCTTTGACAGAGATTTTACAACTCTTTATCCGACAGAAAAAAGACCGTCTTGAGCCAGAATACACACGTGTCCTTCCAGTGTGGAAATTACTGTGAAGTTGCAAACCAGCTTTTGTAGCAGAAGGGGGCGAGAGAATAGGTGGAAAAGAATATGGACAAATAATTTTGAAATTTATATTCCTAACATTTTCAGATTACCTATTACTGAGAAAGGAAATCATTTTTTAAAGCAATGACATGATTATATAGTAAACCCAAAAAATGTTATTTGACAAGCAATCACATTTTGATAACTTATAGACATTTGCAATTTATCTTTCTTTTTCCTCAAGCAGGGAAGAACAAAGTTAATTTAAGTAAAATGAAATAAAAATTAAATTAAAAAATGAAAAAACCCTCAACGATTACAGGAATCAATGGCATAGTACATCATTGTTTTACACAATTATTTGGTACTAGGCATTTTCAGAGAAGAAAAAAAAAATACTTACACTTCCCAAACACAATTATACAAGGTCTTTCATACAGAAAAGACTTAATCCGTATAAAAAATAGAATAATTGTCTTCTAGCATATAGCTAAATAACAGGAACTTTAGCAATTTTTTATCCAAAATGATACTTTTTTATAAAGATTTACTTGCATATGAAAAATAGCAAATAGGAAGCAATCATATTTTCCCCAAACAAATCATCTTCCTATGAATGCATTTGTGTTTGTTTATGTCTGTATAAATATAGGAATTTTCTATATAGCTATATATATTTATTAACTATGATGTAAAGTTTACAAAATATATCTCCTTTTGTTAAAAGCTTAGTTAGCCATTTAAAAAATATTGTATAGCTAAACTTTTAGGTGATCATTACATTTACATAAAATGATAAGCATACAGAAATGGACACTTACTTTTGGCATCTATTAGCTTTTCTCCTGGTGAAATATCAAAAGAGGAAAGTTGTTCCTTTACTTTGGCAACATCTTTTGGATGTAAGAAGTCAAATAAGCTTTGTCCAGTCAAACTAGCCTATTTATAAGGTAGACATTCATTTAAAATCAGTACCATAATTTTTCTACACTTTTTGATGCATACAATAAATGTCCTTTTTTTGTTAAAGGTTGATTTTTCTCAAGCTCAAAGATATGTCCACAACACTATGTGGCATTAACTTAGTGTTAAAAGCGGGGTGATACTTGTAGACAGAAAAAAATACATGTGCATAGAACCATACCTGGATATACACAAACCATACACAAACACTAGTTGCTAGTATTCTGCTAAATCTTGTAACGCTTGTTAACACATGTTACTTCTAAATGATTGTGATTTTATTTTGAACTTTTTTGTCCTTGTTAAAAGGAGAGAGATTACAACATAGTATAATATGGAAATCACAGAATATCTATGGTTTTATCAGACATTTACCATACTGTTTTAAAATTACCACATTATTGATAAGTAAAATCCAACCCAGAATACCTCTCACTTCCCATTCCACCACTAGCAATATGCACAGCATCCCCAGGTCTATGCCTTTGCTGATAAAGTCCCATCACTTAGAATTCATTACCCCTTCCCTATATACTAGCCACTCCAGCCAAATTGCCTTTGACTCCCTAGAGTTCCAAGACATCCTTCTCCCAGCCTGAAATGTTTCCTCCCCTTCTCTACTATACCTTGCTTCTGACAAGCCTGGCAGACAACCTACCTCAGGTGTGAAGCACTCCCTGACTCACAATGGCTACCCCTCTTCTGAATTCCTGTATTACCCAAGCAAACAAACTTATAAACAACAGGACTGATTGACCAGCCGATACAAGTAGGCTGAATTGTTTGGCAGTGAGATATTTCATTATAAAACATACTGTGTAGTTAATATAAGTCTATATCCAGAACTCTCTAAGGCAGATCAAGTTTCTGAATCTGAAAAGCTGAGGACCAAACCCTGACTCATGGGAATCTATATATGCCCCTGAGCAGCCAGTAAGTGTCTTAATGGTCTCTTATTGCAAAGTCAGTGTCCAGTAGGACTGGATTCCATGTCGCTAACTTGAAACTTAAGTGCTGCCCTAAATTGTCAGTTATGCGTGTGTGTGTGTGTTCTATCTCCAGTTAGAACATGGAATCATGAGGTTTGTGTCCCCAGCTATAATTGGCTGCATGATTCATGGGTTTTCAATCCTCCTGTACATAGGCTCATAATATTTTCTTACTTCTGTTAACTCATTATCTCTGAACATCTTATAAACTAACGGGAGTTATTAAAAATCAAGGCTGTGATCTATCTGATTTCTAATGCTAGTTTATTCACTCACTTGGGTTAGTTTCAATGCTATAATTTTTGAGTTGCTAGTTTCCATTAAACGATTTTAATAATAAGGAGGTAAAGTAACTACTAAACTAGTTAAATGAGAAAGATGTATTTCAGAGAGTGTTGACAGAGATTAGATCAAAGGCTGTCATGCAATGCATGTGACTTAATAATAACCTAATAAGTGTCTCTTGGAGGGAACAGAGAAGGGTGACTAACACTTCATACATTTTTACATATGATACCTCATTTCGTCTTTACATCTTGAGATACAGGTATGATCATTTTGACTTTTTACATAGGAAAAAGCTGAGGCTCAGTAATATTAAGTAACTTGCTGAAGGTCAGAAAGGAAACACAAATGTCAGTAACAAAAATCCTTACTCTTTCCATACATCTTTCCATCTCTCTTGGAGTTCTAACTTAGCAGATCCTAATCCCATATCCCAGTGAGGAGAAGGCACTCAGAAAAAGAGCTTAAAAATATGTGTTTGTTCAAAAAATTAAACATTGTGTGGAAAATATCCTCAGTTTTGGATACCTGATCGTAATTAAGTATTTTGGAGACTGACTTAGAAACGAAGAGAATTTTTCCTCTTTCACATCCAACCACAAATAGGAAGCCTTCTGCAGCCTAGGATTTAAAAAAATAAAAATGAATATTTTAAAATATTGTCTGTCTCACACACACACACACACACACATATTCAGATTCTGAGGAAATTACTATGGCAATAAAACTAACAAAGTAGTCATGGAGCTAGTAAAATTAACTTTAAGAAATGTTCTTAAGGTACAAACAGATTTATAAAGAATGTCAAGTTGAAATCCCATTCTAAATTAATGTGTTGGAGATGAAAAGTTCAGCTGCAGAATATTTAGTTGAGACGTTTCTTAAAACCTAAAATTAGGCCAGGTGTTGTATACGAGCCTACACACAGTACTAAATAAGCCTCTATCCCAACACTTTGGGGTACCAAGGCTGGCAGATCTCTTGAACTCACGAGTTCGAGACCAGCCTGAGCAACACTGGTGAAACTCTGTCTCTACAAAAAATACAAAAATTGGCTGGGCGTGGTGGTGCACACCTGTAGACCCAGCTACTCATGAGACTGAGATGGGAGGATGGCTTGAGCTTGGGAGGTGGAGATCGCAGGGAGGTGGAGATTGCAGTGAGCCAAGATTGCAGCACTGCATTCCAGCCGAGGCGACAGAGCCAGACCTTGTGTCAAATGATAATAATAATAATAATAATAATAATAAAATAAAATAATATTTACCAATTCTACTATAGTGCATGCAGAATAACAATTGCCTGTGGATGTGTTGAGGGAGGACTGAGCAGATTGGGGACAAGGAAGCAATTGAAGACGTCGTACTGTATACCTTGTTATCATTTTTGAATAAAAATAAGGCATCACTGATTCTAAACTAAATTTTAAAAATTTGAATGTGTCAGCTACTCTCATAAGGTCTACCCAGCAAATCCCACGAAGCAGCCTCCACGGAAGTGGGTACGTATGGCCACATAGGATGGGTCTGGCACTCCTGCTGGGCATGCTCTGCAGGGCAGAACCAGAGTTCCATGAAGGTATGACTGACAAGCATGGAGATTGGTGAGAAAGCTTCAAAAGCAAACCGTACATTTTGCCACCCTCAAAAATCTTTTTTATCCACACAATATCCCTTGTATCCTTGCCATAAATGCTATATTTAAATTCAGCTGTTCAAATAAAAGAGTGGTCTTTTTAATGAAAGGAAAAATGGACAAAAATGTGTATGAAGAATCTTTCTATTTAATTCTACTATGGCTTAAAACCTAGCGGCCACACAGCACATGACCAGGACGTTTATCACCTCTGAGGGCATGAGAAGCCAATCACATGATCATAGTTTCCATGTCAAATGAACCTCTAGACCGGTGAATCCGAAAAGCCATGCCCAGGAAGTGATGAGGAAAAAAATGTCAAAGCCCTGACTAACAAATCCAAGTAAGCAGTGACTGGCCTCCAAGGAGTCCGGGATCCTGAGGGAACAGGATGCCAGGCAGACGGCTTTGGAGGAGGTGGTGATCGTGGGGAATACATCCTGTGTGTGTGAGATGGGTAGTATAAAATGCTTAGCGAGGAAGATAAGCTTTGCTCCCCAGTGTGGAAAGTGCCTATCCTCTGTCTCTACTTTCATTAACACAAACTAGTAAGACATGGCTACTTCTCTATTTTGAATTTCTACATTAAAGGAAATGTGGTATAATATGGAGTACAGTAGGTTTGTAACAGGAAGAAAATGGAAGAAAGTCTGTCTCGTATTCAAACAGCAATGAAAAGACATATACAACTTAGACAAATATGTCATTAGTTACCTTAAGGATTAAATGTCTGAGCTCATTATCTTGAATAAATGACGGTCTATAATTATTTCCCACACAAGAATTTGTCATGCCTAAAAAGAAAGGAATCAAGAGTTATTGGAAATATAGTAGAGAGGGCAACATATTAAGTGCTCACTGAGTATTAGCAATGCTGCTGCTGCTGTTGGTATTTTCTCTTTTAGCACATTCTAAGACATTTTTTGTAATCATTTTCTTTTTTTAATTTTAATTTTATTTATTTAGTTAGTTAGTTAGTTAGTTTCAGACAGAGACTCACTTGGTTGCCTAGGCTGGAGTACAGTGGTGCAATCTCAGCTCACTGCAACCTCCATCTCCTGAGTTCAAGCAATTCTTGTGCCTCAGCCTCCTGAGTAGCTGGGATTACAGGCATGTGCCACCACACCCGGCTAATTTTTGTATTTTTAGTAGAGACAGGTTTTCACCATGTTGGCCAGGCTGGTCTTGAACTCCTGACCTCAAGCAATCCACTCACTTCAGCCTCCCAAAGTGCTGGGATTATAGGTGTGAGCCACTAATCCCAACTAATCATTTATTTTCTTCATTATCACTTGATTAAAATTTCTTTTAGATTGTGAATTCTTAGAACTACTTATTCCTTTATACTCAAATATCCACAGTAAGAGCTATATATGAAAACATTATATTAAAATGTACATGAAATAATATTCAAGAATCAATATGTAGTAGTCCCCCCTTATCTGTGGTTTCAGTTGTCTGTGGTCCACCATGGTCTGCAAACAGGTGAGCACAATACAATATTTTGAGAGAGCCAGAGAGACCACGTAACTTTATTACAGTATATTGCTATAATTGTCCTAGTTTATTATTGTTGTTAATCTCTTCCTGTGCCTGATTTATAAGTTAAACTTTATCATAGGTATATATGCATAGGAAAAAGCGTCCTATGCCTAGGGTTCAATACTACCCACGGTTTCAGGCATCCACCAGGGTCTTGGAACATATGACCCATGGATAAGGGGGGATTACTATAGTTATTTAGATAATTTCTTAGCTAATTAAAACTGATCATATGAATTACCCTGAATGGTGATATTCTGGAATTCTAAACAAATGTTATGGATTCATGAGAGTTTCCAGTAAAAAAGCCCTTTAAGGTCAATATGGAGATCTCTGTTTTGAAAATACACAGATTATTAAAAACATGTATAAAATATCAATGAAATAATTCATTTTCAGCCCTTAGCACAGAGTTATTAAATTAAAATGAGGGTCTCTAAAGCAGCTGAAGAGCTTGCAAAATGATGAAGAATTATCAGGTCAAAACCAAGGGAAATGTTCGATCTGAGAGGAGTAAGGGAAGCACCAAAGCCATCTGTGTCATGAGGGCATTTACCAACCCAGACATGCAAAGACCTTTATGGCCACAAGCGGTTGTATGATACTGCCCACAAAGCCAAGAAAGCTGTTCCCAGGGCAAGGGTGATTCAGAAGCAAGTCAATTTTCCCTTCCTTATATGCCCCAACCCTCCTGACTCCTATCCAATCTTCCTGGGGATTATAAGAAAAGTTGCTTTTGCAGGAGAAAGGTGGGGTAACATCCTTAGACATTTTCACAACTCATTGGTCCTTGATGCATCTATGGGCCAAACTCACCAAAGAACTAAGCGGTGGTGGTGGTGGCAAGGTGAGCGGGCAGAGCAGAAAGTCAAAATGCCTCATGCTATGATTCGGCACAGTTTTCTCAGACTCCTAGCACTCTTAAGAGCCTGGCATAGGCAAAGGAACATCTCTTCTGTTGGAATCTACCTTCATCCTAGGGCTCAAGGAATTCTCCCAGTGACTTGTTAATATTCCTACACAGCAGCCTGGAGGGAGCTGAGGAAGGGAGCTGAGGAAGGGATGAAGGATGCAGACTCTGGGTGCTAGGCCAGGGAACAGTAATAAATCTATTCTGAGCAAGGTAATGACATTTCAGGTCTGGCCTGCAGCAAAGTTGGCAACGCACACCAGGCAGAAGTGAGCTGGGAAACGCTGTGGGTGTAAATCAGCCAGCACAGGCCAGCCTGGACTTGGTGAGTGAGTGGGGATGTGCTTGGGAGAAAATGAGGGCAGTGAGAGCTGCACTAAGGCATGGCAGAGGCCAGCCTGAAAATGCACGCTGTGGCGTCCACACACTTGCCCACACATTGGCTCTCAAAGTTCCCGGGGCAAAAACCAATGAGGCAACATGATCACTTACTTTTTCCAAAATGTTCACTGGGTTTAAAAAAAAAAAAAATCAAAATGACAGTAACAACTCGTCCTCCTCTTCTTACCCCACCCCACCATTAGTGAACACTGTGCTATACTCTACATGCATTACTCTTAACAACAGCCCAGGAGGCAAATGCCTCATCCCTATTTCACAGATGCGGAAACAGGATTAAAATGTCAAATGACTTGAGTAAGTCACATAGCTATGATGGGAGGAAGCCAGGATTTGAACCGCAAGGTCTGCCTTCAGGACACACAGGTGTGAACCACTCCCCTGCACCGCCTGGTCATCAGATTGCAGACACAGGACCTCATGCTGTGGAACAGGGCTACTCCAGATGTGGTCTGCAGACCAATGCCATCAGCAAACTTTGGTGAGGTCAAGTGCAGAATTTAAGAGTAAGCATTTAGAAGCTTTTATAAAAATGTAACATCGCTGTGACAGCCAAGTCCATGATCATTTCTTCACAATTAATTGTATTTTACAATGAACTGGGGGTGGATGGGAGGAACACCTGTTCTTCATCCAGATAATTTTAAAAGCACTCTGCATGCATTAGAGTGCTTTAAAAAAAAAATTTTTTTTTTAAGAGTGTAGTGAAAAAAAAAAATCCCTTCACCATCCTTCTGCCTTTAACCTAATTATGCTGTGGACCAAAATAACATGATCCACAGGCAGCCCTCTGTTGATCCGACTTCTAAGCTTTTGCCAAGCAAGTGTGGGGATATTGTGACAATACCCTGGAATGCAGATCCAGTTGCCTTAAGTGAGTGTGAGCAGTGCTTGTGAACAGCACTGACCAAAAGATCTGGTCAGACTGTGGGATGAGTACTTAACCATGTCACTTCTGCTTAGCAGAGCTGACGGCAAAAATCTACACCCTGTTTCAAGGAATCTCCTCTGGACTCAGACAGTGCCTCCTCCCTGCCGAGTTTCTCTCACTCATACCACTGCTGTAACATTCATCACATTAGACTCCGACAATCTCTTCCTCCTAGTCAGACCATGAACCCTTGGAGGGCAGAGACCTTGCCTCATGAATTTTTATATTCTCAGCACAGAACAGGAGGGCAGTTGATGTGCGGATCATGTTTTGTTGAACTAGTCAACTGATTCATGGCTTTTCCCTTAGGTCCTCCTCCCTTAGGACACTGCTAATATGAAAATACTCAGCTAATTTTAAGGTTGCAATCAAATGACCTCAGTTGAGCCTGTAAATTTTCATTGCTGAAGGATTTAAGGAAATATTGCAAGTCTCGGCTGTGGGTAAAAGAGAAGCTTATTTCACAACAGACTGTTATGAAAATAAGATCTCCCATCATGCTCCCAACAGGACGCACCAGGGGTACAGATTAATGCTGTTCTCCTCTTAGCCACCCTAACTTGATCTAGTAAAGTCCTTGTATTGTGCCCAGATAATTTCCATTACCCTGAAATAGATTTCCCTTTTCCTGGCAGTGTCTGAGACCTAAACTAAGGCCCGTGGTCATCCTTTGCTCACTCACTTTTTATAATTTTTGAGCCAAATTTCAATATAATCTTCTAGATCTTTACAAATCTGAACTTTCAGAGTGTCCTCTAGAGTCTTCAGCTTGCTACTTGGCCAGGTCTCATCTTCTCAGTGGAAATTTACATCATCAGCATTGGTAAACCGAAAACTATTCCACTTCCTGTCCCCCAGGTTGGACTGGGGTTATTCCCAGACCAGGTGTGATTTCTACTGCACATGTTGCCATGGTTTGGCTTTGTGTCCCTGGCCAACTCTCATGTCGAATAATAATCCCCAGTACTGGAGGTGGGGCCTGGCGGTTGGTGACTGGATCACACTTTCCCTTGGTACTGTGTGGCAACAGTGAGTTCTCATGAGACATGGTTGTTTAAAGTGTGTGGTCCCTCCCCCACCCTCTCTTGGTCCTGCTCCTGCCATGTAAGACGCCTGCTCCCGTTTTGCCTTCCACCATGAGTCAAAGCTCCCTGAGGCCTCCCTAGAAGCAGAAGCCACCATGCTTCCTATACAGCCTATGGAACCGTGAGCCAATTAAACTTCTTTTCTTTATAAATTACTCAATCTCAGGTATTCCTTCACAGCAATGCAAGAATGCACTAAGACACATGTACACATATACATTTATTACACTTTGATTTAAAATTCAAGCTCAAGCTGGGGAACTGCTAAAGCCAGAAATGATGACCCACACACCGAGAGGCAGTGGCAAGAAGCTCCTTCTCCCAGCGTCTCACGTATGTGAGGATACTCTGGAATGGCAACGTGTGAGGCATCATAAGGTACTACTCATAAATCTAATAAAGCTTTCAGAGAAACTGCAGAATTTAAGGAAGTTTTCTTTTTGAAGGACAGAAATCTCCCAGTAACTTAGTAATTACTACTATACTTCAGAAGATTTTTTTTCTTTTTTGAGACAGGCTGTCACCTAAGCTGGAGTGCAGTAGCATGATTACTGCTCACTACAACCTCCACCACCCAGGCTCAAGCAATCCTCCCACCTCAGCCTCCCAGGTAGCTGGGACTCCAGGCAAGCATGACCATGCTTGGCTAATCTTTGTATTTTTTGCCCAGGCTGGTGTTGAAGTCTGGACTCAAGCAATTCATTCGCCTCAGCCTCCCAAAGTACTGGGATTACAAGCATGAGCCACCATGCCCAGCTCTACTTCAGAACTTCTAAAGAATTGAGAATTATGAAAGGCAGGTGATATTCTCTTCATATTATACATGAAGCAAAAATGCGAAGACTCTTCAAGGTTGCGTAGTGAGTTCGATATAAAGCTTTTATCAGAACCAAGTTTTCTGACATCCAATTCAGTATTCTCTCCACATATAGACTACAGACAAACACCAGTGAATGCCTGTAAAGGCGAAAGACACATCCGAATAGAACCTCAATAGCTGACAGCAAAGCGAACTAATCAGAGACCTCCCTGACAGGGGAGATTTCACATATCTAAGTGTGGCAGCCGTCATCAAACTCACCTTTCAAAGATCTCAAGTGTTGAACAGCCATTCTTAAAACTGTAAGTTTGTCCAGTTTACGCGCCATGGGGTTGCACTGAGGGATCATTGCAGACAGTTCTTCAATCAGGTTATTCATTTTATCTCTCCTCCGCTTTTCAGTTTGGCTATGAGCTTCTCTAAGAGGGAAAAAGAACTTCCTTTATATTTACCGTTTAACAGACCCCTAGTCACACCGTGGTGTCACTGGAGCAGAGGCTGAGCCCAGCAGGCACACACTGTTCTTCCTTCTTCCTCCTAACTTGGGCCTGCAGTTGCCACTGAGGAAAGAAGAAAGTGCTGCTGACACCAGGAACAGCATTCATAAAACTCGCTGCCCTTGGTCGGTCCCTTCCTACCTCATTTTCTGAAATCCTTAAGAACAAAGACATCTGTCGGGGAGCCCAGGGGGGTTTTCTACCTGTCTCCAATGTTAGAGGAAGAGATGGGTGCCCTTCTGTTCAAAACGAACTTTTCTCTGGTATTTGCATAAATAGTCGTCAGCATCTTAACCTCATCATTTTCACAGTTCCTTATCATGGGTCTATAAATGTGCTCAAGTCTCATCCCCTTGAAAAAAACCCTTTTCCTAATTCTACTTGTTTTTTGTTCTTGCTACCATCTTCTCCCCTCAGCAGCCTCCCTGAAAGAGTGCAGTTTCCACTCAGTTTTTCATTTCTCAGGCATTCTGTCCATCTGTAACATCAATCTTCCAGAACCCCTGCCTCACTGAAACTGTCCTAGCAAACATCCTCCTCTCTTGCAATCTTGCTGACCCCTGCCTTGAATCTGACACTGCTGACATTTCTCATTCTCCACTGGTCTCCACAGCCTCTCTGGCTCCTCGTCCTCCTCCACTCTCCCTGCTTGGCTCAGTACCCTTGTCTCCTCCCCCAGCTCTTACTTAGCCCTTAAATACTGGTGTGCACTAAGATTCCCTGCTCAGGGCTGCTCTCTCCTCACTCACTATTCACCCTGAGATCTCATTCCTTCACAAGGCTTTACAGCTACTCATAAGCTACTTACTTGCTCTTACAACACTATCTCATTCATACTTCACTCAATTCCTGACCTCTGAAACTAGAATTACAAACCTAAATGATTCTCAAGAACTCTAAAACTCAAGAAACCCCAAACTGAATGTATTCTCTGCAATCTACCCCATTTTCAATTCTTCCTGCACTACTCCTGATTTATTCTTCCTTCTAGGGGGTTTATCTTGGTCGGTAACACAACTAGACACAGTCTAAACCCAGCTTGTCCAAACCGTGCTCCAGAATGGCTTTGAATATGGCCCAACACATATTCATAAACTTTCTAAAAAGATTGTGAGTTATTTTTGTGTGTGATTTTTAACAGTAACAATAGCTAATGAGCTAAAAAAATCAGACAAAAAACATCTCCCTTTTGGCCCAGGGAAGCCAAAAGATTGGATACTCCTATTTAGAACCTTTCCTCTTCACCGTAAAGAGCCAAATAATCACAAGCTCCTATAGATTCTAGATCTTAAAATATTTCTTAAATATGTCTTCTCTTCCTCTCCATCTCTTCTGTCACCACCTTAATTTGGGCTCATTGCATTACCCTAAAATCTTTTAAACTGATGTTCCTTCCTCTCCCTATCTATCCTATGACTTCTGGAATTATCTAACAAAACACATCAAGTCACCTAATCCCATTGCATAAAACTGTTCACTGCATTTCCACTGCCCAAGAAGACTAGCCAGATTCCCTAGTTACATGCTAAGGTTCTCCCTGACCTGCCTCAGGTCTTCAACTCCAGTTTCTCTCTTCCAGACTTTTCCCGACAGCTCTAAATGTTACACAGCAGCAGTGCCTGAAGACGTGCTCATCCTCACACATGCCATGCTCTCTCACATCTCCTCCACGCCTTGCTCTTTACCAGACTTACAAAGTCCTTTCCAACTACACTGTTGGAGAAATTCTGTTCTTTCTTCAAAACCCAGCTCTGTTATTCTTCTGGGAAGCTTTCTGTGATTACTGCATGATTAATCATTGCTTTCTCTAAGCTACCTCAGTACCTTTCATACCACTACCATTATTTCATCAACTCTATGAGCCACCAACTGTAAGATGTACTATTATTTAAGGCATCACAAGGGAAAGAAGTGCTGCCAATTGACAGGAAGATGTCACTGATGATACGAAATTTCCACAGAAGATAAAACGTAGAGGGGATAAGTGTATCTTAGATTCAAGAATTACATCATTTTACTTCTCACACTTTGCTGTAAATCCCTCTCCCACAACACACAGCCACTCCAGAATTTCTCTTTAAGAATAGTTCAGGGGGCAGTCTGATGGGAAAGAGGGTAAATGGGAGACTGCCTTAATCTGTTTTTACAAAGACTTTAAATAGGATAAAGGAAAATATAATTTTTCCAGATGAAAGAGTAAGGAGGTGGGTAGGGAGGAACACTGATGAAGACTGTGGGAGCTAACACACTCCCTGCCCCAACCACTCACCCTTGGCAATGATACTCCTGGAACAAAATACATACTGTTGGGTGAAATGGATAGGATTCAGGTTATATGTGTATTCACATAAAATTCAGTTATCTACTCATACTTTGTCCTATTTGTGAGCAATTAGATGTTTTTCTTCTTTTTAGAGACAGGGTCTCACTCTGTCACGCAGGCTGCAGCGCAGTTGTATGATCATAGCTCACTGCAGCCTCAAGCTCCTGGGTTCAAGTGATCCTCCTGCCTCTGCCTTCCAGGGAGCTGGGATTACAGAGCAATCCAATTAAAATTAAAATGTTATAATTAAAAGAATATTGTCGTTACACTCTCACTAGAAGGATCACCTCTTCTTTCTAACAGTATTTCCCGTCAGCCCGGACAGCAGTGATGGATAGCGGAGCCTGACTCCAGGATGTCTAGCAGAGGAAGGAGTACTCTCTCCGAGCCAGGATCTGGAGAGAGATGAGAGCAGGGTGGGAGAAAGCCCACTGTGGAGAAGGTGAATAATGATGCTAGGAGCCAGGAAACCCAGGGCAAGGTGAAAGAACCAATGTCTGAATACGGTACTTTACTTAAAGGAGTTGCACCTGAAAAGGTTTCTGGAGGCTTTCTTTAAGGAAAGGCAGATTTATCCAGAGGCTAGCTCTCTGCTTAATAATTCATCAGAGCTCTGGCCCCTAATTCAGTGTACAGTTACTGCCGCTTTGAACCATGGCAGTATTTTGTAGAATCCTTTCAGGAAACAAAATAAATGGAAAAAAGGCACAACTCTGATAGGCCATGTTGCCAGATGTAGAAAAATAATTTTTTTTGTTGAGAAATATGTTGAAATAATTGACAAAGAACTTATGAGGATGGGTTTCTAACAGTCAGATGCTCCTCATAAGTAACTCTGATTTGTTTAAATCATGAATCAATTTTTCTTTAGTGCCAAAGAAAATAACAGTTTTTTTCTCAAAAAAAAAAAAAAAAAAAAAAAAAGCTTTTCTAAGAGAAGTTAAAGGGATGAAAGCCAAAATGTTATCCAAATAAACAGAAAAGCAAGACAAGAGGTGCCTCATAACATTGCTTCTCAGAACATATCAAGAGAGAAAAGCCTCATCTTCAAGCCCTTCTATCTTGGCATCATCTTTGCCTTAGGCTACAGGCTTGCCTTTGTCTACCTTTCCACCCACCATGTATCATCTCAACAAGTCAATGTACCTGAAAGCCTTCATTTTAACTTGGTGTTCACCATCTTCCATTCTACAAAAAAGCAGGATAAAATATCAAGGATAAAATATCAAACTACATGAAATAGCTTTTCTGTAATTCTTGAGAAAGAAAGAAATGTGAGATTAAGTCCAATCATCCTAATTCCTATAAAAATCTTTAGAGGTAAATGCTTCCTGGAGCACCTAATGACCTGAAATGATTATTAGGGTGCATGAACTATTCTCCTCTTAACGCTGACAGGCAACCCCATTCTCATGAGGATAAAAAAAGTTATGTTAACTGACAGTAAACAATAACTGATATGCTATTTAGATACGATCTCATGGCAAACTTAAGCAAGAATAAGATTTTCATAGAATTAACATTAAAGTTACTAAGATCATTGATGGGCTAACCAAAAACTTTAAAACTCAGATCACAGTATATAATTTTCATGTCGTCTTACTCACTTAACACCCTAACATATGCCTATAGAGTTTCAAATATTCTTGAAGAACATAATTTGAAATGATTAAACAGTAGCCCACTGATTAGTTATGTCATAATTTATTCATTTGCTATTGTTGGATATTTCAACATTCTAATATTTTCAAAATCATAAATAATATGGCTAATAATACTGTAGTAGGTGCATCTTGAATTGTACTCTAGGATAAATTCCCAGAAGTACAATTTATGGATAACTATTTTAAGGATTCTTATTCATCTTAACAAATTTCCTTCTTTACAGATTTTTTTTTTTTTTTGAGATGGAGTTTCGCTCTTGTTACCCAGGCTGGAGTGCAATGGCGCGATCTCGGCTCACCGCAACCTCCGCCTCCTAGGTTCAGGCAATTCTCCTGCCTCAGCCTCCTGAGTAGCTGGGATTACAGGCACGCGCCACCATGCCCAGCCAATTTTTTGTATTTTTAGTAGAGACGGGGTTTCACCATGTTGACCAGGATGGTCTCGATCTCTTGACCTCGTGATCCACCCGCCTCAGCCTCCCAAAGTGCTGGGATTACAGGCATGAGCCACCGCGCCCGGCTTCTTTACAGATTTTTAACAATGAACATTGTTCAGGCTTTGAGAAAAGTTTGGCCTACTTTAGAACTGTTTTATTCAGTTGAACTCTTTTGAAGCTTTAATATTTTTCTACTTAAAAAGATAATGCTTCTAGGAAATTTAATCAAACATATGAAGAGATGCTTATAAATATTCCAAATAAAAAGGACAACTAAGACAAACACTTAATCAAGTGGTGCTTTTCCTTTTTACAGTTTAAATCAAGAAGAGCCTTTATATTTATGGTACTTTATCAAAAATATTTCCTCACTTAATTTGATTCTCACAGCACAGTGATGAAGTTATTACTGTCCCCATTTTACAGATGAAGGAGTTGAGTAAAGTTAATGACTGTGCAAGGTCCTACAACTAGTAGGAGGCCAAGTGAAGCCTATTGGACACAGGCTGGTGTGCCTTCCACCATACCTGGCCATTTCTCTCAATACCATCAGCCTGTTGTGTGGTTGTAAAATAAAATTAAACAGCTTCTCTAAAGCAAAAGAGAGGGTCATATTAAGTAAGCTTCTTTTCCCTTTCTCTTTTCAGCCATCTTAAAAGGATAAACAGAAAACAATTACACAGATGAATAATTTTCTTCCTAACAGTCTGGGATTATATATAATTGTCCCTCAGTATCCGGGGGGAACTGGCTGCAGAGCTTCTTGCAGATACCAAAACCTGTGGATGTTCAAGTCTCTTCATAGTATTTGCATATAACCAGTGTACATCCTCCCATATACTTTAAATCATCTCTAGATTTCTTATAATACCTAATAAATGTAAATACTATGTGAATTGTTGTTATGCTGTATTGCTTACATAATAATAACAAGAAAAATAAGTTTGGATATGTCCAACACAGACTTGATTTTTTTTTTCTGGATATTTTCAATTTTTGGTTGGTTGCCTATAGATATGAAGGACCATACATATATATACATATATATATATATATATACTTCAATTGTGTATATATATATATGTATACTTCAATTTCAAAAGGTAAACTTTAAAATTTTACCTTTTGAAACTGAAGTAACATACATATATATAGAGTCAGTTTACCTTTTAAAACCACGTTTTTGCTTTGATTATTGGCATTTTAGCAAATGAACTCACTGAGTGAATTTGCTTCCACGGTGAAATTCAAATATACTGTACTTACTAAATGCAAATATCTTTCTATTTAATGGCCCCTGGCAGAATAGAATAAAGGCAGGATCTTGTTAGTCAAACAATTTCTTGTTAGTGAAAAAATTTGTTTGTAGCACGAATGGAGATAATTAGTAAATTTGGTCTATAATCCTAATATTTTACAAATTTTTACAAATGAGTTTTAATAAGCTTCCTGGTATTAATAATGTTCACATTACTTGGATACATTTTCTTAGTGTAGCACCTTACATTACAGTAACATAGTTTCCAAACACAATGCAGTTTCCTTGAAAACTATTTTCACTGCATTTTGAATGAAATGTAGGCATTGTTTCTAAATCAACCAAAGACAAAGCTAGAGGCACGCGCAATCTCAAAAGATTCTCCAGATTTGCCACTTTTCAGATGTTCCTCTTTTTGAAACGTGCTTCCTTCGATTTTTGTGTGCCGCTCCCACTTCAGATCCCTGCCTTCTCATATTCTGCACAGGCTGCCCCTCGTCTTTTACTGTCTTTAAGTCAGAACCCCTAGAGTATATCCTCAACCCCCAGCCCCCCCACTCTATGTGGTTCTCCCAGTGACATCACTCACATCATCAGTTCAAGTACTTTTTGTGCATTAATGATATCTGAATCTCTAACACCAGGCCAGGCCTCCACCCTGAGCTCCAAATCCTCATGTCCAACTTCCTGCTTGAAGGTTCCATAAATATCCCATTCTCAGTGTGTCCGGAACTGAATTCATCATCTTTGCCTCAATCTAAGTGAATGAAAATACCACCCTCCATCTAGGAGCCCAAGACAGATAACTTGGGCATACTTTATATCCTCTCCCCAATCAATAATCATGAAGTCCTAGAGATCCTATCTTCTAAGTGTGTCATATGTCCCTTCCTTTCCCTGCCCTTCCTGTCTAGGGCCACGCTCTTTGGTCAATGCTGAGAAAACCCAGTCCTTGGCAAAAGCTATTCTCAGTTGTTCTGTCTGTCTGTGGGGTTTTCCTCCTTCAGCCCATCCTCCATGCTGTTTCCAGGGTGATTCTTTGAAAACGTAAGACTGTACCAGTCACACCTACCAGGATGGCTATAATCAAGCAATTGAAAATAATAAGTATCAGTGAGGCTGTGAAGAAAACAGAACTCTTGTACACTACTTATGGGAATGTAACATGATGCAGCCACTGTGGAAAACAGTATAGCAATTCCTCAAAAACTAAACAGAATTATCATATAACCCAGCAACTCTCTCAAAGGCATATATCCAAAAGAATGGACTCAAACAGGTATTTGTACATCAATGTTCATAGCAGCATTATTCACAGTAGCCAAAAACTGGAAATAACTCATCAACAGAGGACTGCATAAATCAAAGATGGTATATACACACAGTAGAATACTATCCAGCCATAAACAGGAATGAAATTCTGACACATGCTATAATATGGATGAAACTTAAAGACATTATGCTAAGTGAAATAAGTCAGACACAAAAGAACAAACAGCATATAATTCCACTTATGTGAAATACCTGGAATAAGCAAATTCATAGAGCCAGAAAATACACTAGAGGTTAGCAGGGGATGTGGGGAGAGGAGAATAGGAATGCTGTTGTTTATGGGCACAGAGTTTCTCTTTGGGGTGATGCAAAAGTTTTAGAAATAGAGGTGATGCTACAATACTGAATAAAATTAATGCCAATTAATTGTACAATTAATAGTGTTCAAATGGCAAATTTCATGTTATTTATGTGTGTGCGTGTGTGTGGATATATATATTCACCATAATAAAAATGAAAAGGTGCAGAGGCAATCAATTCTTTAAAAAATATAAATCTGATCAAGTTCTTCTCATGCTTAGAATTCTTCACTTTTCCTACTACATGCAAGATAGTTTTCAGATTCTTCAGTTCAGCAGATCTTTCATGACTTAGTTTGTGTTTATCCCTCAAATCTCAGAGCTCACTCCACTCCAAGTGCACCCTCTGCTCTACGGTGACAACCACTAATTTCCTAAGCAGGAGTATGCAACTACACACTGGTACATCTGCATAGCTGTTCTTTCCACCTAAAATATCTTCTCCACTCCTGCTCTGTAGAATCACTTCTTCTCTTCTGTTTTAAATGTATTTTTGTAGAGACAGAGTCTCCCTCTGTCACCCAGACTGGAATGCAGTGGCATGATCATAGCTCACTGGAGCCTCGAACCTCTGGCTCAAGCGATCTTCCCACCTCTGCCTCCCAAAGTGCTGGAATTACAGGCATGAGCTATCACGTGTGGCTATAGACACATTTCTATTCTTTACTTAAAACTTAGCTTAAGTCAACTTTTCCAAGAAGTATTTAAATCTTGTATAAATGCCCAACTTTATTTGCTGACATAGTATCCAGGGTTTCTATTATTGCAGTTATGATGGTATAAAATAATTGTTTGTATCTTTTCCACTTGCACAAGTTTCTTGTACCTTTGTGTCTCTGTCTCTCCTAGTCTACTGACTGTCACATATTGACTCTCACCTATTGACTGGCTTTCCTGCACTGAGTCCTGGGGAAGGACACTACATAATCAGCATCACGTACTTGGACATCCGTAATTTCATTAAAGGGAATAGAAAATGGTAGGATAAAGGAAGGACTGGGGCAGAAAGGAGAAGCTCTGGGATAGATGATGAGCATATCAGTATATGTTTTCACTGCTACTCTATGCCCTCTTCAAGTAGGGGAGTATGTCAAAGATGGTCCAGGACTTACCTGCTGCCACTGGAGGCTGTTATTTCTATCCTTGTTGAAAGAAGATAGGTAAGGGGATTCTGAGAAAGCTTTTCCACCACTTTTTCTGTCATGATTCCTGACCTGGAAGGAAGGAGGCCTTGGGTCACCCCCTACCCAGATGTTCTGGGAATGGACAGCAAGACTGTCCTCAAATGGAGATAGTAGCCTACTCTGTCCAGTTACCTAGTGACAGGAAGCTGGGTGAAGTGGAGAAAATACCACATCCAGAATCAGGCATTCTAACAAGCTGTGTGATGCAGGGCAAGCAGCTTCACATTTCTGAGTTCTAGCTTCTTCCTTTTCTAAAATGTGAGTAGTTACCTAAATAATATTCAGGGTTGTTTGCTGCCAAAAAAATGCCAGTACTGTCAGTACTTTGCATGTTTCTTATATTTTTGCTAGCACTGACCTCAATTTCCAATTCACCCCCAAAACCACTGTAAGATCTCATCTGTGCCCCCCATGTGGCACAAAGCTGGGCTACCTCTAGATTCACTGTTCCCACTTCAATTGCTAAAATCATATTTAGATACCAAGAAAGAAAAGTGGTGCTTATGATTCTGAAGAATAAGGAAGAAAATAAAAAGAACTAACAGTCACTTTTAGCTCAAGATAAGTGGGGGCTATTGACTGATAATTTAGGATGGAAAACAGCTAGACAGTCTAAATAGAGTGTCACTTCATCAACTGTAGTTTCCAGAAGCATCCATGTTAATAGACGAGACTAAGAGAATAGAGACAGACAAAAACAGTAGAAAACCTTCAAATCATTTATATATGGCTTGGGAAGTGCTTCAGTATTTACATTTCAATAACACTGACTCTGCTGTCTTGGGAACTAAAGCTAAAGTGTAAAGTGTATTGGAAAGAACTGAGTAAAAAAGATCTAGGATGTTTTACTATGTCCTTATCTTGACCCCCAACTCAGGATTTTTCCCTTTATTCATGATGGAGAATTGTCATCAACTCTCACATTTATGTAAAGTACCAGCCTAAGATGCGTTGCTGTAGGTGGCTATCATTATTTTTCCTTAATGTTTTCTAAATTTTATATCTATTTATTTAGAGATGGAGTCTTGCTATGTTGCCCAGGCTGGTCTCAAACATCTGGGCTCAAACGAACCTTCTGCCTCAGCCTCCCACACAGCTACTACTGTAGGCATGTGCCACTGTACCTGGCTTGCCCTGATGTTTTCACCATATAAACTCTAGCTTTGGGGAAGTCATTAAAGAATATTTAGGACTGAAGGTTCAGGGGTAACAAAAATAAATAAGAAGATAGTGGGTATTCTCAACATTGACTTTATTATCAATTTGACTTAATAAATATGGAAAATAAGAGTTGTATATTTTTAAACTGACCACAGATAACCAAGGGTTGGTTACCCTATACATGATGAGTAAGGTGAGAAGTAGTAATTATTATTTTAAGTCAAGCATGCAAGGTGTTCTCCTCGTGTTTATAAGTATTTTAATAAGGAAGGCAATTATCTTGCCATAATCATAAACATTACTCAAATTAAACTCATGTTCCTACGTCTCTTTCAGATTCCAGCTGACCCTCCTAAATACCTTTCTTCAGAGCTGGATGGAAAAGTTCCAAGTCAGTCATTGACAAAGGTAGCAGTTGAGCAGATAAGTAATCTCCCCTTCCTAAATGTTACCATGAACTTGGAAATAATTAATGATTTTAAAAGGAATATTTTCCTCTTCTCAGAGAGTCAAAGATCTCACCGGGTTAGAGGAACAAATTCACTTACTGGGATGGGTCTGAATCACTTCCTTTGCGTTTTCGTGGAAACTCTGTCACGTGTGAGCTGAAGGATCCCATAACTGTTGGTCTTGTTCCTGGACTCATGCAGCTAGAAACCACAGGAGCAATGCACTGGTTCTCCTCTCTCAACACTTTACCTATGGCCAGCAGAGTAAAACAAGATCTTTAGTTTAACTATTAACTTTTACTTTGTACATATCCATATCACACATTTTAAATGACTTTTCTATCTTGATATTTTAAAAATATCAGCCAAGGCCAGGCACGATGGCTCATGCCTTAATCCTAGCACTTTGGGAGGCTGAGGTGTGTGGATCAATCTGAGGTCAGGAGTTCGAGACCAGCCTGGCTAACATGTCAAAACCCCCAACTCTACTAAAGTACAAAAATTAGCCAGGCACAATGGCGGGCATCTGTAATTCCAGCTACTCAGGTGGCTGAGGCAGGAGAATTCCTTGAACTTGGGAGGTGGAGGTTGCAGTGAGCTGAGATCATGCTACTGTACTCCAGCCTGGGCAACAGAGCGAGACTTCTTCTCAAATACACACATACACACACACACACACACACACACACACCAGCCAAAACCAACATAACACAGGGTGAAAGACTAATTATGTACACTCAAATATTAATTAAATATGCATTTGTTAGTCCATGTCTTTAAGGCTTTTCCCCCATATAAAAGAAGTTTGAATATGGTAGAAAATGCAGAAACACAGAAAAATAGAAAGAGGAAAAAACAAATTTTTTTTTCTAATGTTACAATTCCAATATTACACCAACCAATGTTACAATCCTTTTGAGATATTTCTTCTTAGAATTTTTTTCTATAGTTATCATTAAGGTAATTGAAATCATACAGTATACAGTAGTCCCCTCTTATCTGCAGTTTTGCTTTCTGTGGTTTCAGTTACCTGAAGTCAACTTCAGTCTAAAAATATTAAATGGAAAATTCCAGAAATACAACATTCATAAGTTATCAATTGCACATGGTTCTGAGTAGCATGATGAAATCTCACACCATAGTCATCCCTCTGTCCAGTATATCCACGCTGTATATGCCACCTGCCTTTGAGTTACTGAGTAGCTGGCTTCGTTATCAGATCCACTATGGTGGTACCACAGTGTTGGTGTTCAAAGAACCCTTATTTTGCTTAATAGTGGCCCTAAAGCACAAGAGTAATGGTGCTGGCATAATATTATAATTGTTCTATTATTAATTATTGTAGTTAATCTCTTACTGTGCTGAATTTACAAATTAAACTTTTATGATAGGTATGTATGTACAGGAAAAATTCATATATGTAGAGGTTGGTATGTTATTTGCAGCTTCAAGTATCCACTGGGGAGTCTCAGAATGTATCCCCCACAGGTAAGAGGGGCCAACTGTAGTCAGCTTTATTTATGTATCATTGTGACATAATAACTTTCCAGTTTTATCACAAATTCTTATAGATGACTCTAATGTGTGCATAATACACTATCATGTAGCTGTGTCCAGTTATTTAACCACTCTCCTATTGCTAGAATCTACATTTAATTTTATTTGCCAGTACAAATACATATTTTGGTATATAAAGTGTTTTATCTATTTCTGGTTATTTTGGATAGTATCCCAGAAATGGGTTAACAAGGTCAAGAGACATCAGTAATATTTTTAACTCTGAATTGCTAAGTGTGATTTTAAAAAATCCTTTTTGCCTCAAGTGAGGTTTATTAAATGTTTTACAAAACATAAAAATCAGAATCACTGAACCAAAATAACCTATAGTCTAAATTTGAGTCCTGTAATTAACTATACTTCTCATATTAAAATGCATATAAAAAGTTTAAAGTAATTTGTATTTAATAACACAGATTGAAAATATATAACAAATTTACAAGTAGAATGTAATAAGTTTACAATAATAGTGAAAGATTTTTAACACATCTTTAACAGTAGCTGACAGATCAAGTACTAAAAATAATGACACAGAAGATTTAATTGACACAATCAGTGAACTTGATAGTAATAGACATATATGGACCACTATGCCTAGCAGCTTGAAACACCAGTGTTAATTGTTTTTGGCCAACTATGGTGCATTTATAAAAACTGACCATATACTGGACCAAAAACCAAGTCTCAAAGGTTTTGACAAATTGATATCATAGATAAAAAACTTTCTGATTACAGTGTAATTGTGTTGGAAGCCAGTAACAAAATGATAACCAGAAAATCCCTATAACTTTGTAAATTAAGAAACCCACAAAGAATTCATGAGACAAGAGGAAATTCAAATGTTAAATTACAAAATATTTGGAATTAAATAATAAAAAACGTTACACATAAAAATGTGTGGAGATGCATAAGCATTACTTAGAGTGAAATTTTAACAATGTTTAAAAAAAGAAAGATTGAAATTTAATAATAATTTAAGAAATCAGAAAAAGATCAGTAAAATAAATCCAAATAACTGGAAAAAAGAAAATCATAAAAATAAGACCTGAAATAATGAAATAGAATATAAACACATAAGAGTGCAGATCAAAAAAGCTAAACAGTTTCTTCCAACTGATTGGAAACTCTAACAACTTTATGGCAAGGTTTTTCAAAGAAAAAAAGTGTACAAATAAAAATAGTAATGAATATGGGGTCATAATTTAGATTCTCTATTAATTTAAAAGATAAAATATCATTGAAAATCATGCTAAATATTTAAAAATTTAGAAGGAATGGAAAATTTTCTACGGAATTTTAACTTACAAAATTGAAACAAAAAGAAATAAAAACCTGAATATTCCTATATTCTTCCTTACACAAACTATTTCACTATATGAAAAAAGAGGGACTACCTTGACCCCCAACTTTTCTTTGTCAATGAGGCTTACATAATTTTGGTATTAAAACCTCAAAAGGAAAATTACAGGCCAATCTCATTCACAAAAAAAATACAAAATCTTAACAAAATATTGTCAAACAAAACTCAGAAATGTATAAAACTAATCATCCACTATGACTAAGACAGTCTCATCCTAGAAATGCAACAGTAGCTTCATATTAGTAATTAATTAATATAATTTACTACAGTAATAGATAAATGGAAAACTACACAAGCATTTCAATAAATGCAGAAATATTAAGGAAGAAATATTGAAAGTGTTCTTTTTAAGATCAGAAACAAGAACACCCTTATTTAATTCTATATTATAAGACCTCACAGTAGAGTAAGGCAAGAAAAATAAAAATGAAATATAAAATTAAGAAATAAAATTGCTTTTCTCTTATTGGGAAATAATATAATTGACTACACAGAAACCCCAAATAATCAACATATAAATCATTAAAGTTAGAGGATATATCAAGTTGGCTGTATACAAACCAATACATAAAAATTAATTGCTTTTCTATCCAAAGTAACAAATAGTAAGAAAATGATACTTAAAACATAGAATTTATAATAATCTCAAAAATACATAGTATCTAAAGAATAAATCAAATAAATGTGTAAGGTCTTTATGGAAAAAAACTATAAAGCTTTATTTACAAACATTTAAAAGATCCAAATAAATGGAAAGATATGCCAGGCTTTTGAATTGGAGGCTTCAATATGCTAAAGATGTAAATTCTCCTAAAATAAATGTGCAATCCTCTCAAAATACTTAATTTTTGGTGGACCCTTTCGAGTGGAATATACAACTATGCAAACTGTATATAGAAGAGCAATGGGTCATGCATAATCAAGGAAAAGGTGAAAGACTGGCCCTATCAGACCTCAGGACTTAAAAAAGACCGCAATAATTAAGACAGTGTAATGCTGCTATGAGGATAGATGAATGGAAGAGAACAAAGAGTCCAGACATGTATATATGCACATCTGCTAAATATCAAAGGTGATATTTCACATCAATGTGGAGAAAAATCACTTTTTAATAAATGGTCTGGGACCAATTGCTTTTTTCCATGGAAGAGATGAAACTGGACTCCCTGTGTCATACCAAATACAAAAACAAATCCAGTTGGATTTGAGACCTAAATGTAAAAAACAAAAATAGAGAACTTTTGCTATGGTTTGAATGTTTGTGTCCCTCCAAAATTCATGGGGGAACTTAATTCCCAGTTCAATAATATTAAAAGGTAGGGCCACTAGGAGGTGATTAGGCCATGCACACTCCACACTTACAGATGGGATTAGTGCCACCATAAAAGGACTGAGAGGACAAGTCTGTCCTTTCCATTCCTTTGCCACTTCTGCCAAGTTAGGATGCAGCAAGAAGATGCCATCGTAGAAGCAGGAGCAGCCCTCACTAGACACTGAACCTGCCTGTGCCTGGATCTTGGACTTCCCAGCCTCTAGAAATGTCAGAAATAACTACCTGTTGTTTATAAACTACCCAGCCTAAGGTGTTTTGTTACAGCAGCACCAATGGACTAAGACAACTCTAAAGGAGAGAGTATTTTGTGTTATTTCATAGAAAGAAATTCCCAAGACATAAAATGTAAAAATAGTAAAGGAAAAGATTGTTAAATGTGATGATCTTTAAGTTAATGTTGATTGAAAGATTCTATAAAGAGAATGAAACCATAAGCCACAAACTGGGAAAAGATATTTGTTAGACATATAAACAACAAAAGGTTAATATTTAGATTAGAACGGCTTTGAATCAATTAAGAAAAAGACCAATGACTCAACAGAAAATTGGATAAAATACTTGAATAGGCACTTCATACAAGAAATTCTAGTTGTCAACACATGGATGAAAAAATACTCAATCTCACTGGTAACCAGGAAACTGCTCCAGAAACTGTACTCATACACTAATATATGATGGCTACAGTTGAAAAACTTGATAATATCAAGTGTTGGTGAGGATGTGGAGCAACGGAAATGCTCATGCTCTGCTAGCAGGAATGTAAATTGGTACAGCCACTCTGGAAACCATTTTTGCGTTGCCTAAGAAAGGTGAACACATACATAACACATGACGGTATTCCACTCCTAGGTATATGGAAAAATTCTTACTGTGTATGAGCTGACAGGTACAAGAAATGCCTTAGCACCATTGCTTGTAATTGAACAACAAAGAAAACCTGAGAAAACTGGAAACTTTAAATTTCCATCAGCAAAATGGATATATTGCTTATTTACTGAAT